TAAGAGTGCTGCCATGAGGAGGTGTTGCCATAGATTTGCTTTAAATCCTATTTCTTTAGAAGGCACTGGAAGTTTGTTCTCCGTTTGTGGGTTAGTCACACTGAGCTTGTGGCTTTTTTTTCAGGTTTCCTTCGCAACGTGGTGTCTGGGGAGCACTATCGCTTTGTCAGCATGTGGATGGCTAGGACTTCGTATCTGGCAGCCTTTGTCATCATGGTGATATTTGTAAGTCGACAGGAGCCAGGCGTTGCCTGCACTCTGAGCCCGGTGCTGGTCAGCCTGTGTTTGATGTTACAGTACAGGCCTGAGCCCTCATCTGCTTTTAAAGCTAAGCTGGTGGAGTACGAGGTTCTACTCTGTTTTTTTTATTTTTTTTTTTTTTAATGTGGATTCTTAAAGTCCTAGAAGTGAACCAAACAGAGGAGCTGAAATAGAGTGAAATAACAGGGGTTTTGTCAAAAGGGAGACTCGGGTTCAAGAGTCTCTAAGTGTAGTTAAACACTCAGGGTGCCAAGGCATGGGGTGCAGAAGTTTGTCCTCTGAGACTTTTAAGAACAGGTCTAACTAATTTGCCAGAAGCGATCAAGATAGAAGAGAGTCTCCTGCGATTACGTGTGAGGTGATTACAGATGAGCATTAGACAAGATCCCAAGTGATAACTAAGCCTGGGTTCATAGTCTTGGGTGACCGTCTCCCTTTGTGTCTGACCGTCTGCTGATGCGGCTCCTTGCACAACAGTATTGTGGCCAGTGAGAGAGGAGGAAATGAGTGCGAGGTGACCGTTGTCGGAGGCATCATGAGCTGCTGGGAGGAGCATAGATGTAGGATGGGAAGGAACCCTAGTTCCAGCTCTGCTGCTGCTGTTTGGTTTGTCCCCTGCTCAAATATTCAGAATCGGTCTCTTTACAAACAAGTAACTTACTGTCTATTTCACTGCAGTAATACAAAGATTAATTGCTGTTTGTGAAGTCCTAATTACTCTGTGGGAAATGGGTCTGCATAGCTCAAACTAACAAACATGGGATACGCACAGCACGCTGTGCAACGTTGCAAGTCCGAGCTTGCCTGTCCAGGCCCCTGCCCTAGTGCAATTCTGACAGTGGCTCCCTGGACCTGCGCGGCTCTAACGCTGGCTTCTGTTCTCCTATTTCAGACTCTCTCCGTTTCGATGCTGTTGCGCTACTCGCACCATCAGATCTTTGTCTTCATTGGTAAGGATTTTCTAAGGGGCTTAGGGTGTACTGGGCACTGCCTGCTCCAGCACAGCGTATCGTGTATATACTCTTGACTGTCGTCATTTAGAAGGGTCCTGCATGTAGCTGCGCAGGGAGTGTATCCCCGCCATGCCCCCGTCGCCGTGCTTGCGAGAGCTGTTCTGTCTCCCGACAAGTATCGGGGCCGGTGGGCTGGGGAGCGTGGACTTCACTGCACGTCGCGGTGCTCTGAACGGGGAGCAGCGTGGGGGTGGAGGGTTCCGTGGCCCCACGTCTGCTTTGTGTTATACGGCGTTTTCCTTCTTGCAGTTGACCTGTTGCAGATGCTGGAAATGAACATGACAATCGCGTTCCCTGCAGCTCCCCTCCTCACCGTCATTCTGGCTCTAGTAGGTAAGGACGTTAGCTCACTTCTTGTGTACGTACGGCAAGTCCCTTTGGGATCTGCAGAAAGTGTAATTCCCTGTTCTGGCAGCGGCAGGTGGTTAGTGTGTCCGCTCCTCACAAGGCGGAAGGCTCTGGAATTTGGTGGCACAGTGAGCTGCATTGGCCTTCTGGGTCCCCTGGAAAAGCGGTTTATTTGGGAATCGCATAAACTGAAGCTTTGTCTGTCACTTTAGTTCATTTCAGATTCACGCGTCCTGTGACCACGATACATTAGCACAATTTGAATTTAAAAAGCAAACAAAAAAAAAAAACCCGCAAACCTGCCGTCTCTGCGGCAAGCCACAGTGAGCTGCATTGGCCTTCTGGGTCCCCTGGAAAAGCGGTTTATTTGGGAATCGCATAAACTGAAGCTTTGTCTGTCACTTTAGTTCATTTCAGATTCACGCGTCCTGTGACCACGATACATTAGCACAATTTGAATTTAAAAAGCAAACAAAAAAAAAAAAACCGGAAATCTGCGCTGTCTGCAGCCAGCCGATCCTCTGGCCTGTCGTGGCTGTGGTCAGCAGTGAAACACGTTTGCCCTTAGCTGCCGCTTTAAACAGAACCGATTTATCCTGCCGCAGTCTCTGCTGTGCTCACACAGCCCCAGCTCTGGCTGTGACAGAGGATTCCGTCACGTGCCCCTTCGGGAAGCCCTTGCCGATCTGGCGTCTGTGCGCTGCGGCGTGCTGATGTCAGCCACCCTCTGTCCCGTAGGTATGGAGGCCATTATGTCAGAGTTCTTCAATGACACCACGACTGCGTTTTACATCATCCTTATCGTGTGGCTGGCTGACCAGTACGATGCTATCTGTTGCCACACCAATACGAGCAAGAGGCATTGGCTCAGGTAAGAGCTGACCCAGGACCTTATTCCCGTACTGCGTGTTCTCGCTGCGTGTCCCCTTCCTGGTGGGAGAAGGCTGCTTCAGGTCCTTTTCCAGCCCTCCCAGGCAAGAGGGCTTCCACTCCAGAGAGCTTCTCCACGTCTCCTTGGGAGCTGCCCTGCCTGTTGTAGGGTCCAAAGCGCCGTCACTTCCACTGTGGGTCTCATGCCTGGGCCTCAAGAATCGCCTCAGTCCTTTGCCTGCCCTTTGCTTCGCCCCGTTGAAGACCTGTTCGTAGTGAGGCAATTCTAATTACCTGTTAATGGGAGTCTGCACCACCCTGTGCAAAGTGCCCAGCTCAGAATGGAGTTAGGAGTAGAAAGAAGCTCACATTTGTCCTGTCTGTTGACGTATCCTGATAGTTATTGCCTTTCTGTCCAGGTTCTTCTATCTGTACCACTTTGCCTTCTATGCTTACCACTATCGGTTCAACGGGCAGTACAGCAGCCTGGCTCTCGTCACCTCGTGGCTCTTCATCCAGGTGAGCAGCTGCCACTTCTGCTGCACCTCGGTGCAGCCAGCCGCATGCGGGCAGTGAATTCAGTCCTGGCCATTCTGCCCGCCTCGGAGGGGTCTGGCTGCCTGCGACTTAAACTGTTACGTTGCTGGTTGCTCACGCTGCCTGTGCTGTTAAAAAGTGAAGGAAATCAACTGCAGTTGGTTTTTATCAAGCTTCTTGTCAAGTTGAGTTTGAGTAGCAATCTTTATTTATATGGGAGATTGAAATAATCCCTGGTTTGGAAATGGAACAGCAGAAGGCAGCTATCGAACAGCAGGAGTTTTTGGTTGCTGGCTCAAATCCAGCCACGTGACTGGCAGTAGGCTGATGTCAAGTGAGTTTTGGAAGGTGTTGGGGAAGGATTTCTGTCCCATCTTTCTGGAAGAAATCCCACTGAGGATCTCCCACGCAGAGGCTGAGGAGCTGGTCAGGTCTGTGCAGTGACCATGCTGGCAAGACCAGCTCCAAACTGATGTCTCCAGTATCCTGGTTCAAGCAGACCTTTTCTGTGTCTCTGGCTGTTGACCTGACCCCTTTCTCTGCTGCAGGATGGAGACAGGGAACTGAGGACGGGCCAGAGAAATGCCTTTTCCCTTCTTGTTCTCAGCCCTTGAAAGGGGAGGGGGGGTTGTACTCCATTGCCTGTCTTCAGAGAGAAGCTATAAAAGCAGCTTTCAGGATTCGTAGTAGAAGGGATAAATCTTTCCAAAATTTCAGATAACTGCTTGGCTATCAGAGCAGCAAATTCTGCAGTCGCTGTCTTTACAGCGAGAGGAAAGCACAGTTTCCTAAGGTATGTCTGGGCACGCAGCTCGGGCCCCGGGAGTGACTCCTTTCCCTTTGCCTTCTCCAGCATTCGATGATTTACTTCTTCCATCACTATGAGCTGCCAGCCATTCTCCAGCAGATCAGGATCCAGGAGATGCTGTTGCAGAACCAGCAGGTGGGCCAGGGGACTCAGACGACGCTGCAAGACAACCTCAACAACAACACTACAGCTGCGCCCGTTGACGTGGGGAGCCGCCGACCCCACCTGCCCGCTGGACCCCCTGGGGAGAGCAGCGGCCCGGCGGCCCTCACTCCCAGCGAGGCCTCCAGCGTCATCGCCGCTGCCACAGCGGCTTCTGTTGGCAGCGATCTGAACTGGGTAGCTGAGACGGCCGCCATCGTTACGGAGGCCTCGTTTCTCTCCGACCTGAGCGCTACCCTCCTGGAGCCGAACGTGGTGCACGACGCCGTGGCCAACGGGAGCCCTCAGGATGCTGCCGCTGCCTCCAGTCTGGTTGCCCGCATCAGGGTCAGCAGCGACCACCCGGAGACGGCCATGGGCTCCATCACCATCGAAGTCACTTCAACATCTGTGGTGGCTGCGGCAGATGTTCCCCCCGCCGCAGAGGCGGGGCCCGCCGCGCCCCCCCTCCCCCCGCCGCAGAGGCGGCACCAGCTGCGCCCCTCGTCCCGCTGCAGGAGGAGGGGGCCTGCGTCCCCGGCCCTTCCCTTCCTGAGCAGACTGAGGCTGTCGAGGGCTCGGACAGCCAAGCAAAGCCTAGTGGCAAGAACTGCATTGCAAACAGCAGCGTGGCAGAGACCCCTCTGGCCTTTGTGGAGGACGCTGATCAGGACAGATGTTCGGGTCGTGCTCTTGGGGACTGGGGGGAAAGCGGCCCGTGCCCAGCACCAGCGGATAGTGCACCTAGCTCCAAACCTTGCTCGGAGCCAGACTCGAGGAGCCTGTCTTGAGTCCCCGTTACTGTAATTCTGGACTGCCGGGAAGGCATTTGGATTTCGTTTGTTACTATTTCTCACTTCACCATCATCCTTAACCCATGAATTCCTCTTAGCAGAGGCAGAGCAGCTGGGACAGAGAAAAGGTGCTGCAGTGAACTCCCCTGGGAAAAGCACGTGTGCGCTTGGGTGCGAGAGGCTGATGTGCGTGGGACTGCCGGGAGGGAGGGACGAGGCGCTGGTCCCCTAGCCTGCGAGGCTCGGGGGCCTCGTGCTGCGGGCGAGCCGGCTGCCTGCTCGAGCCCTGCAGTCGGCTCCGTGCCCCGGCTTTTCCTTGGCCAAGCTTTGCCTGCTGCGGTCACGTTTGCGGTCCAGGTGCTGTTCACAAGTGTGAGCTGGTTTGTCACAGACCGCCTGCGTGTGCGTGGCAGCTTTCGGGTTAGAATAGCGGCTGCATGTGAACAGGGAGGGTGTTTTCCGACATCCTTGGGAGAGCCCCAGAAGGCAGAGGAGAAACCTGGTAAACTTTCCTTCTCCTTAAGGGGAAGAGGAGCTTAAGACCTTCCTCAGGCACTAGATCTGCTCACAACAGGGCAAAGCTGGGCAATAACCAAAGCAGAAACTCCAGTTCGGTCCCATTTTTTCTGTCCTTGAACTTCCCTCGGTCGGTGGGTTTGGGGGGTAGAAGCTGCCATGTCCAGGTTAGAGCTTCCATCCCAGGAGAGAGGCATTGGGCTCGGCTTGGGAGCAGCGGGGTGGATTCTTGTGCTGGTCAGCCCTGGAGAAGCGACGTCCCTTCTGCTGCCGGCGACCCCGCGGGGGCTTTGGGAATTTGGCCTCTCTGAGGCGTACGTGGCCAGCATAAGGCGGGAGCTCCTGGCAGAGGCAGATGGGCTCCAGGAATATCTGCTGGGAGCTGAGCTGTAGCCTCGGTGTCTGTGGCGACGTGTGGGACGAGGGGGACAGCAGCTCTGTCTCTGCGACTCTGCTTTCGGCACTTGCTGCTGTGGGTGATGTAGTTTGCTTCTCAGTGCCTTGTCCCCCCAGTGGGACACGTTTGCATTTAAGATCAGCCCCATCCCCGCGGAGAGATCGGCTGGTCGCTGGCTGAGCTGGTGCATGAGATGGTTTAGCAGAGAACCAAAACACTAAAGCCACGACATTTCAGCTAATTTTCCCTCCTTTCCCTGGCAGCGGAGGTGAGGCTGGCTGTACCCGGCCCCTCTGCGGTGCAGCTGGGGGGCTGGGCCGGGGACCGCTGCCCCCGAGGGCCGGACCCAGCCAGGGTTTATGCTTGTCGGTGGAGCGGAGCGAGGAGCGCGTCGTGTCTGTAGGGCTGAGAGGAGCTCGGGGAGAAAGGTGGTGGGAAAGGGCGGCGCTGGGAGGCGGCGCCTGGGGCACTCTGCTCTTTGGGGGGAGCTGGGGGCTGCAGGCGCGTCCCCGAGATCGGCCTCGTCTCCCCACAGCTGGGCAGCGTCCGTGGGGGGCTCTTGTGTGCATTTGGGTGCTCCCACCGGGAAGGGGCTTCCCTGTCAGCACCGTGGGGCTCAGACCCCCCCCCTGCTTCACTTTCTCTGCATTTCCCACCCAGGTAGCCCCCCCTTTTTTTTTTTTTTTTTTTTTTGCCCCGAGGAGCCCTGGGTGCCGCTCTGGGGAGGGGGCAGCCTGCTCGTGACCAGCTCGTCAGACCCTTCTGCAGCCAGCCTTCCCGGGAAGGGGCCTGGTGGGCAACGGGCTCCCCGCCTCCGGTGTGGACGGGCCGGAGCGCAAGGAATAATCGTAGGCTTTTAAGAGGAGAGGGTGGGTGGGAGGGGAAGGGGGGAGACAAACCAAATGACTTGATGAATGAAGAGTAGAGTTCATTTTATTTAATTAATGTACAAAATGTATTTCTATGTAATAAATATTATCTCTAACAGCTGCTGTGGTGTCCTGCTAGCAGTTGTGCTGGGTTCCTGCTGGAAGGTGAGGTGCGAGGATCCTGGGGCTTGGGTGCGGGTGCAGCGCGTCGACCACCCGGCACTTCGGGTGCCTCTGCCGCCCTCCTGGGGGGCCGGCGCCTGCCCCGCGGGGGCCCGGCACAAGTCGCCGTCGCGGCTGTGCTCGCCGGCGTTGGGCAGCCTCTTTGTGCGAGTGGAAAGGCCGCGGGGAGGGAAGATCTTTTGCTGTGCTGTTGCCCCTGTCCTTTGACGCCCGCAGTTGGGCTACGGGATATTGCATCTCCTCCGCGGGCAGGGGCGAGGGCAGGGCGCTGAGCCTGCGGGCTGAGAACCGGGCCGGCACCGGCGACGTCCACCTCTCGCTCGCCGGCGTTGGGCAGCCTCTTTGTGCGAGTGGAAAGGCCGCGGGGAGGGAAGATCTTTTGCTGTGCTGTTGCCCCTGTCCTTTGACGCCCGCAGTTGGGCTACGGGATATTGCATCTCCTCCGCGGGCAGGGGCGAGGGCAGGGCGCTGAGCCTGCGGGCTGAGAACCGGGCCGGCACCGGCGACGTCCACCTCTCGCCGTCGGCGCCGGGGAGGCTCCGTTTCTGTTTGAGGTGGCTCTGGAGATCAGCCCGGCTTTGCCTCCCTGGAGCTGGCTCTCCCGGAGGGGAGGTTTGGGTCTCGGCCCGTCCTGCTGCCGCGTCAGTGCACTGCGGGACAAGGGCTACTCACCTTCCTCCTCCTCCTCCTCCTCCTCCTGCTGCTCCCCGCTGTCCTGCAGCGGGGCTGGGGGGGGCCGGGCCGCCGTGTGCCTGTGGAGGAGGGAGGGGAAGGGTTACCCTGGCCCCAGGCCCTGCTGCCTTGAGGCTGCAGCTGGCAGAGAAGCAGCAGACTTTATTTTTCTCCATCATCTTTATTTACAGGGTTTAAAACCAGAGCGTTGCTGAAGGGGCTGCCACCAGGTTGTGGCAGTTTGCTCCGGTCCAGGGGTGCCTCACCTCACCTTACCCCACTGCCTTCCCCAAAATACCCCCTCGGGGGAGGAGGGAGGTGAGGAGGAGCCGGGTGCCCCGGAGCTGGGGCCAGACCCCCCTGCCGCCATCCTGCCGCCCCACGGGCCTTTCTCCAGCCGTCCCTCCTCTCTGCCCCCAGCCAGGGGAGCGGGTGATGGCCTGCCCGGCTCGCCGCGGGGCAGCCCGAGCTGGGGGTGCTGGGGGGCTCCTCGCTGCCCCGGCCCCTCGCCCTGCCTCACCTCTCCTCCCGGGGCTCCTCCGCCGGCGGGGCGGGCAGTGCCCGGCCGCTCTTCGCTGTGCCCAGCATGGCCACCAGCTCGCTCTTCCTCACCAGGGCCGCGCACAGCTGCTCCCGCATCTCCTGGATCTTCTCCTCCAGCTCCCGGAGCTCGCTCTCGCCGGCCGCCCTGTCCGGGGGCTGCGGCGCCTGCCCGTTCCCAGGGTGCCGCAGGGACCCCTCGCCCTCGGGGGGGGCTTTGTCCAGCTGGAAGCGCACCCGCCGCGCTTCCTTCTGCAGGGCGCTCCAGGGCTGCCCCGCTGCCCGCCGCGCCTGGAGCTGGCACCTTTTGGGAGGCAGGGAAGGGTTGAGCTGGGAGCTGGCAGCTGGGAGGTCCCTCCGTGGCCCCCCGGGACAGTGGGTGCCCACGGGGAGGAAGAGGATGAGGAGGAGGAGAGCGGAGCAGGCGCCCAGCCCCGGCCGTACCTCTGCTCCAAGCCCAGCTGCTGGCTCTTCTGCTCCTCCGTGCCCGTGTTCAGAGCCCGGTGGATTTTCTGTGGGGAACACGGGAAGGGTGAGATGGGGGTGACGGTCCAGGGCCGGAGGAGGCAGAGGCTGTGCAGGGGAAGAGCGAGCAGCGGCACGGGGCGGGGGTCTTTCGGGAGCCCGTTCCCGCCGCCCCACCTGGCTGGTGTGCAGCCAGTAGTTGAATTTCTTCTTGCGCTTGATGCGGGGCAGGACGAGGCGGTAGAAGACGTGCTCGCCCAGCGAGGTGAGCAGGGAGCCGCTGAGCCCGATGCAGAGCAGCACGAAGAGCCCCGAGAAGTGGTAGATGCCCATCTGCAGGGTCTGCGGGGAGAAGGGGTGTTGGCCGGGCCGGGGGGTGGCAGCCCCCCAGGGCCCCCGCGCTGAGGGCCTGGCCGCCCACACCTCTGTGACGGCGAAGACGCGCTTGCCGCAGGGCACCATCTTGTACCACTTGTCGTGCAGGAGGTCGATGAACCCGGCCGACTTGTAGCGGCTGATGAACTCGGAGATGTTGGAGGTCAGCGGCGAGTTCTGGGGGAGGCCGATGCCGTAGCCTGGCCCCGGCAGGGGAGGGGGAAGAGAGCGGCAGCGCTGGGGCGGGGGCACAGCCTCC